AATGTAAAGAATGTGCTGTATCATAGTGATATGAATAATAATATAGTAATCTAATTCTGTATCAAATTCCCAAGCTATATTGATAAGTGATATCTATAATTGTACCAGGAACTAATTATATTAGACTGTAGAAATAATTATTAAAAGGATTATTAGACAAATACTAAAATAACTAATGTTAAACTTGGTCATTTGGTTTTAAAATTTAACCTAGGTAAATGCGGAATGTTATACCAGTATAAACACTACACTAGTCTACCGTATATGTACTGCAACTCTCATTCAGTGACCGATTCTCACAATCATAACAATTTAAATGACTTGAACTTAAATATAATGGCAATCACTTAAACATCAAATAATGTTAGAATTTATAATAAATACAATTCTTGCAAATTCCTAACCATTTGGATGATTATGAAAGTGAATGTAATCTCCAAAACACCTCTACTTCTACTCCAATGCAAACCATTACGTAATGTAAGAAAACGTGTGTTTGTTTTGAATGCATTGACCAGTGATTCAGTGATTCAGTGATTCAGTGATTCAGTGATTCAGTGATTCAGTGAATGATGAGTAGTGGACACCCTCTGCACCTCTTGTGGCAGTCTTTGCAATTCAATTCACTCTTCAGTGTGTTTGCCATCACTTTCACCACTATTATTGTCTGCAAATATGTCTTCAGATGGAAGGATGTGCTCTTCAGACGCCAATCAAACGGTAGTCAAACCAATGGACAGTCAAAGACATGTCGCATACTATACGCCACACAAACGGGAACTTCGAGGCGATTATCACAACAATTGATGACATATTTGTCACAAGAGTTCAATGAAGACATCACTCACAAGAATATAACCATTACTTTGAATGCCATCAATGAATACGATGCCGAAGAGCGTCTGGTGTCTGACGCCAAGAATAACACCACACTTATCATTATTATGTCGACCTATTCCTCTGGAAGTAGTGCTCCCGATGGCCAATGGTTTTGCAAATGGCTTCAGGACTTCGCCAACGACTTCCGGGTCGATAAGTCTTCGCTTAAAGGCTTAAGTTTTGCCATCTTTGGTGTCGGCGATAAGGCTTACGGCGAAGACTTTTGTCTCGTTTCCAAAGATATGGATCGATGGCTAAAACAATTGGAAGCGATTCCTGTGGTCTCAACACAACTATCAGATGTCAGCGATTCTGTCGGCTTTGATAAGCAATTCAAGGAATGGATGAATGGGTTGTCAACCAATTTGTCAAACAATTCTGTCATTAGTTCTGAAATTGATTCCCAAGAAGACATGGAAGAAGAGGATCAGCTCAATGAAAGCGCCAATAAAATAGTGGACATCGAAGACATTGTGACCAAGAAATCCAAATTGGAGTCAAATGGTGTCGTGAAGGATATGATTACACCGGAGTTGAGGAGAGAGTTGACAAAACAGGGCTATAAACTGATTGGCAGTCATTCAGGTGTCAAACTCTGCCGATGGACTAAATCGATGCTCAGAGGGAGAGGTATGTCGTGTATAACAAGTGCTATATTTGTGACTAAATGATGACTAAATGATTGACACGATTAGGCGGTTGTTATAAACACAGCTTTTATGGGATTGAGTCGCACCGGTGTATGGAGACGACGCCAAGCCTTGCCTGCGCTAACAAATGTGTGTTTTGTTGGCGACACCAGACAAACCCCGTGGGAAC